GCAAAAACCATCAAGCGGTATGATGAAATTGGCTCTCATGAGGACAACCACAGGAATGGAAGACCCAGAGTTACCTCTGCAGCAGAGGATAATTTCATTAGAGTTACCAGCCTCAGAAATTGCAGCCCAAATAAATGCTTCACAGAGTTCAAGTAACAGACACATCTCAACATCAACTGTTCAGAGGGGACTGTGTGAATCAGGCCTTCATGTTCGAATTGCTGCAAAGAAACCACTACTAAAGGGCACTAATACGAAGAAGAAACCTGTTGGACCAAGAAACACGAGCAATGGACATTAGACCGGTGGAAATGTGTCCTTTGGTCTGGAGTCCAAATTGGAGATTTTTGGTTCCAACCGCCGTGTCTTTGTGAGACGCGGTGTGGGTGAACGGATGATCTCTGCATGTGTAGTTCCCACCGTATAGCATGGAGGAGGAGGTGTTATGGTGTGGGGGTGCTTTGCTGGTGACACTGTCTGTGATTTATTTAGAATTCAAGGCACACTTAAGCAACATGGCTACCACAGCATTCTACAGCGATACGCCATCCCATCTGGTTTGGGCTTAGTGGGACTATCATTTGTTTTTCAACAGGACAATGACCCAACACACCTCCAGGCTGTGTAAGGGCTGTTACCAAGAAGGAGAGTGATGGAGTGCTGCATCAGATGACCTGGCCTCCACAATCCCCCGACCTCAACCAAATTGAGATGGTTTGGGATGATTCAGACCGCAGAGTGAAGGAAAAGCAACCAACAAGTGCTCAGCATTTGTGGGAACTCCTTCAAGACTGTTGGAAAAGCATTCCAGGTGAAGCTGGTTGAGAGAATGCCAAGAGTGTGCAAAGCTGTTATCAAGGCAAAGGGTGGCTATTTGAAGAATCTCAAATATAACATATATTTTGATTTGTTTAACACTTTTTTGTTTACTACATGATTCCATATGTGTTATTGTATAGTTTTGATGTCTTCACTATTATTCTACAATGCAGAAAATAGTAAAAATAAAGAAAAACCCTTGAATGAGTATGTGTTCTAAAACTTTTGACCGGTAGTGTAGATGAGATGATTATTCATGAGGAAGCAGGGAGGGTGGTACTGCTGGTGGTACAGCTATAGGACCTTGGTAAATACCCTGACCCACTTCAGGGCTGATTTGCATAGTGCAATATGACCCAGTATGCAGTATTACAGCAATTAACATTCATACAGCATCCGTACTGTTTGAATGAGATGACTTGACCCCATGTTCCTCTTTATCCAGGTTTAAACCCAAATGGTTTTTAACACCCTCACTCTGTTCCGCCTTGTTCTCTGTGGCGGAGAGATTTTACCTGCCGACACTCAATCAGATTTGTGAGAATACATGGTGTCATTTTGTCACTGCTGGAGAGGATATGGGATTGGGTAATGGGTAATGGGTTTGATGTTTTACAGCTCATAACTTCTATCAGAGAGGGTGAACGTAGCCCAGGGGAAAAGACATGATGAGAGTTGTTTCAGGCATCGTACATGTGCAACTGTCATGGTGTGACAATGTCAGATAAAAGTCATGTTAATCATGGGTTATATTGGTTCATAAATGGGCTTATACACTGAGTGTACAAAACATTAAGAACACCTTCCTAATATTCAGAACAGCCTCAGTTCGTCGGGGCATGGACTCTACAAGGTGTCGAAAGCGTTCCATAGGGATGCTGGCCCATGTTGACTACAATGCTTCCCATAGTTGTGTCAAGTTGGCTGGATGACCTTTGGGTGGTGGATCATTCTTGATACACACAGGAAACTGTTGAGCGTGAAAAACCCAGCAGCGTTTCAGTTCCTGACACAAACCGGTGCGCCTGGCACCAACTACCATACCCCGTTCAAAGACACTTACATCTTTTGTCTTGACCATTCACCCTATGAATGGCACACATACAGTGAGGGAAAAAAGTATTTGATCCCCTGCTGATTTTGTACGTTTGCCCACTGACAAAGACATGATCAGTCTATAATTTTAATGGTAGGTTTATTTGAACAGTGAGAGACAGAATAACAACAAAAAAATCCAGAAAAACGCATGTCAAAAATGTTATAAATTGATTTGCATTTTAATGAGGGAAATAAGTATTTGACCCCTCTGCAAAACATGACTTAGTACTTGGTGGCAAAACCCTTGTTGGCAATCACAGAGATCAGACTTTTCTTGTAGTTGGCCACCAGGTTTGCACACATCTCAGGAGGGATTTTGTCCCACTCCTCTTTGCAGATCTTCTCCAAGTCATTAAGGTTTTGAGCCTGACGTTTGGCAACTCGAACCTTCAAGTCCCTCCACAGATTATCTATGGGATTAAGGTCTGGAGACTGGCTAGGCCACTCCAGGACCTTAATATGCTTCTTCTTGAGCCACTCCTTTGTTGCCTTGGCCGTGTGTTTTGGGTCATTGTCATGCTGGAATACCCATCCACGACCCATTTTCAATGCCCTGGCTGAGGGAAGGAGGTTCTCACCCAAGATTTGACAGTACATGGCCCCGTCCATTCTCCCTTTGATGCGGTGAAGTTGTCCTGTCCCCTTAGCAGAAAAACACCCCCAAAGCATAATGTTTCCACCTCCATGTTTGACAGTGTGGATGGTGTTCTTGGGGTCATAGGCAGCATTCCTCCTCCTCCAAACACGGCGAGTTGAGTTGATGCCAAAGAGCTCCATTTTGGTCTCATCTGACCACAACACTTTCACCCAGTTCTCCTCTGAATCATTCAGATGTTCATTGGCAAACTTCAGTGCTTTCTTGAGCAGGGGGACCTTGCAGGCGCTGCAGGATTTCAGTCCTTCACGGCGTAGTGTGTTACCAATTGTTTTCTTGGTGACTATGGTCCCAGCTGCCTTGAGATCATTGACAAGATCCTCCCATGTAGTTCTGGGCTGATTCCTCACCATTCTCATGATCATTGCAACTCCACGAGGTGAGATCTTGCATGGAGCCCCAGGCCGAGGGAGATTGACAGTTCTTTTGTGTTTCTTCCATTTGCGAATAATCGCACCAACTGTTGTCACCTTCTCACCAAGCTGCTTGGCGATGGTCTTGTAGCCCATTCCAACCTTGTGTAGGTCTACAATCTTGTCCCTGACATCCTTGGAGAGCTCTTTGGTCTTGGCCATGGTGGAGAGTTTGGAATCTGATTGATTGATTGCTTCTGTGGACAGATGTCTTTTATACAGATAGCAAACTGAGATTAGGAGCACTCCCTTTAAGAGTGTGCTCCTAATCTCAGCTCATTACCTGTATAAAAGACACCTGGGAGCCAGAAATCCTTCTGATTGAGAGGGGGTCAAATACTTATTTCCCTCATTAAAATGCAAATCAATTTATAAAAAAAATGTACATGTGTTTTTCTGGATTTTTTTGTTGTTATTCTGTCTCTCACTGTTCAAATAAACCTACCATTAAAATTATAGACTGATCATTTCTTTGTCAGTGGGCAAACGTACAAAATCAGCAGGGGATCAAATACTTTTTTCCCTCACTGTACACAATCCATGTCTCAATTGTCTCAAGGCTTGAAAATCCTTCTTTATCCTATCTCCTTCCCTTCATCTACACTGATTGAAGTGGATTTAACAAGTTACATTGATAAGGGATCATAGCTTTCACCTGGATTCACCTGGTCAGTCTATGTCATGGAAAGATACTTAATGTTTTGTACACTCAGTGTAAATGTCCTAGACCCCTATTTTTGATATTAGCTTTACAGCATGTAGGTAGGACATTGCGGACACAGCACTTTTGGGATTGTTTTCTTTTAATCTGTGCAGGGTGAGGTTAGGCCGGTGGGGAGGCAGTGTGAGAAATTAGTTTCCCTCTTAAAGGGATGTCTGTGTGCCCAGCGATCAGCCTGCAGCCCTATCAGCAGAATCAGCCAGCCCAGCCTGGACTACCAGCGCTAAGGATGCACAACCACACTCTGCTCTCCCTCTGCTCTCCCTCTGCTCTCCCTCTGCTCTCTCTCTGTTTCTCTCTCTTTCTCTCTCTCTCTGTTTCTCTCTCTTTCTCTCTCTCCATTCTCTCTCTCTCTCTTTCTCTCTCTCCATTTTCTCTCTCTCTGTTTCTCTCTCTTTCTCTCTCTCTCTCCATTCTCTCTCTCTCCATTCTCTCTCTCACCCTCTCACCTCTCGTCTGACATACTTTACTGGCTGACCTTGGGGATAGACCTGGCTAGCTGTAACCACTTCACCATTCATTAATTTTCACACACACACACACACATGCCTGATTCATTCCGCTTCCATCCATTCCATGTGCCAGTCCCAGGGCAGCAGCTATCTGAATGGTTGGTGTGCGTAGTTTAGTGTCAATGCTGGCCTCTTACAGACTGGATTTGGAGGTGAAACATTCTCAGTCATCTTAAAGGCCTGCCAACCGAGGAGGAATAGGAAATCAATACCAACTCCCATGAATCAGCACTCCTGGCTGGCCTGGCATGCTAGTGTGCAGCATAGCACAGCACAGCACAGCCTCCGCCCACACTTTGTCTGCCCTCCCACCTCTCCCCCTCCCTCTCCCTCTCCTTCTCCCTCTCCAGCCTAATAGTGTCTGGGACTGAACAGAGAAAATAAGTCTTGAGAAACAGGAATATAGGGCTCAGGGAGACATTGTGTTCTGTGGACACACTGTTTCCCTAGAAGACATTGTGTGTCTGGGAAGCTCAGGCGATGGCTTAGCATCTTGAGTCCCCTCTCTCTTCTCTGGGTGGATGAGATGAGAGGGGAGGGTGGTTGTGTTGAATATCAGAGCTGTGTTTAAGAGAGGGAGCTGAGGGAGCTGTGCTGATATCAAATATAATTTACACTGAAGAGGGCTTCTGCCATCTAGTGTCTTCTTTCTGCTACTGCATGTCTCTGGCTGAGCTCTTATCTCTCTACCTTTGAGTCACTCATGGAGTGAACAGTGAACAGAGGGTGTACGATACAGTAACTGATGGTTATCTGTGGTTGTGTTATTTGTCCTGCAGCTCTACCGAGCATCTGCGTTGTTTGAGACCATTCGTCATGAGGCCCAGCACAGCACCGACTACAAACTGTCTCTGTTTGACCTGCAGACCTCCTCCTACCAGGCACTCCAGAGGGTCCTTGTCAGCCTAGGTATTGTTACGTGCTCCATTGCCCGCATTCCGTTCTCACCATCTTTCCCTCTTCCTTTCTTTCTTTCTTTTTGTCTGCTATTCTCTTACTTTCTTTTCATGTTCGTGCCTATCTTTACCTATTTCAAAAAAAATATTTACACTACTACACATTTGAACATATTGGCTCGCTGATAGCTAGAAAAACTAGCGTTGACCTTTGACCCTCTGCTATCCAGGCCACCATGACGAGGCATTGGCGGTGGCAGAGCGGGGTCGGACGCGGGCCTTTGCTGACCTGCTGGTGGAGAGGCAGACAGGCCAGCAGGACTCAGATCCCTACACCCCAGTCACAGTGGAGCACATCCTGGACACGGTGAACAGCCAGAGGGCCCTGGTGCTCTACTTCTCCATGGCTGCTGGGTACCTGTACAGCTGGCTCCTGGCTCCAGGAGCAGGTAAGACCTGGGGGAGAGGGAGGTGGAGACCTGGGGGAGAGGGAGGTGGAGATCAACTAACTCAGTTGCTCTGTGTGCTGATACAATGAGCTGTAAGGGTAAGGTACTATGTAAATCTGTACGAATCTATTATGCCATATTATACAACACAGTATACAGACACAAAACACACACATACACACTCACTCAATCAGTGGATTTCATCTTGATTGTGCTTTGTTTAGCTGTGAGTCCTGGAGGGCATGGCTTGTGTTCAGAGGCGAGGGTAAGAAATCCCACTTTAACACAAGGCGGCAGTGCCACCTGCCACTCCACTGCTGGCAATGCCACCCCGCCTCGCCTCTCACCCCCCAGGGCACCTGCCAATGAACCATGGTAACCGAGAATGACAAAGCCAAACATCACTTGCACAATGAATCAACATCCGCACACACAAGTCAACAGGGAAACACACACACCTACTCTTGTGCGCGCACACACATCATCTCTCCACAAACAAGCTTTGTGCGTTTGCTTGTGCTGCCTTTAGTATTGAGTAGGCCTAACTCCATAGCCTTTCTCTCTCACCAAAGAAAATAGCGGGGGCTTTGAAGCCCAGTCATACTCTCGCCTGACTGACAGCTCTCTGGCTGCCATGGAGACTGCTAGCCTGTGCTTCTCTTTTAGCCCTACTCAACAAAGTGTGAATGAAAGCTGGTGAGCCACAATAACGCATGCCCACCAGCCTGTGTCGTTTGATAAAACCCCAGAGCCAAGGCTTTTCCGTGTCTGACCGCCCTAATAGTAGTCTATACAGTGGGAGGGGAAAAAGTATTTAGTCAGCCAACCAATTGTGCAAGTTCTCCACTTAAAAGATGAGAGAGGCCCTGTAATTTTCATCATAGGTACACTGCCTCACGTTGAAGACAAATTGAGCATTTTTTTTCCCAGAAATTCACTTGGAAGGATTTTTATGATTTATGTTGCAAATTATGGTGGAAAAATAAGTATTTGGTCACCTACAAACAAGCAAGATTTCTGGCTCTCACAGAACTGTAACTTCTTCTTTAAGAGGCTCCTCTGTCCTCCACTCATTACCTGTATTAATGGCACCTGTTTGAACTTGTTATCAGTATAAAAAAACACCTGTCCACAACCTCAAACAGTCACACTCCAAACTCCACTATGGCCAAGACCAAAGAGCTGTCAAAGGACACCAGAAACAAAATTGTAGACCTGCACCAGGCTGGGAAGACTGAATCTGCAATAGGTAAGCAGCTTGGTTTGAAGAAATCAACTGTGGGAGCAATTATTAGGAAATGGAAGACATACAAGACCACTGATAATCTCTCTCGATCTGGGGCTCCACGCAAGATCTCACCCCGTGGGGTCAAAATGATCACAAGAACGGTGAGCAAAAATCCCAGAACCACACGGGGGGACCTAGTGAATGACCTGCAGAGAGCTGGGACCAAAGTAACAAAGCCTACCATCAGTAACACACTACGCCGCCAGGGACTCAAATCCTGCAGTGCCAGACGTGTCCCCCTGCTTAAGCCAGTACATGTCCAGGCCCGTCTGAAGTTTGCTAGAGTGCATTTGGATGATCCAGAAGAGGATTGGGAGAATGTCATATGGTCAGATGAAACCAAAATAGAACTTTTTGGTAAAAAAACTCAACTCGTCGTGTTTGGAGGACAAAGAATGCTGAGTTGCATCCAAAGAACACCATACCTACTGTGAAGCATGGGGGTGGAAACATCATGCTTTGGGGCTGTTTTTCTGCAAAGGGACCAGGACGACTGATCCGTGTAAAGGAAAGAATGAATGGGGCCATGTATCGTGAGATTTTGAGTGAGAACCTCCTTCCATCAGCAAGGGCATTGAAGATGAAACGTGGCTGGGTCTTTCAGCATTACAATGATCCCAAACACACCGCCCGGGCAACGAAGGAGTGGCTTCGTAAGAAGCATTTCAAGGTCCTGGAGTGGCCTAGCCAGTCTCCAGATCTCAACCCCATAGAAAATCTTTGGAGGGAATTGAAAGTCTGTGTTGCCCAGCGACAGCCCCAAAACATCACTGCTCTAGAGGAGATCTGCATGGAGGAATGGGCCAAAATACCAGCAAACAGTGTGTAAAAACCTTGTGAAGACTTAGAGAAAACGTTTGACCTGTGTCATTGCCAACAAAGGGTATATAACAAAGTATTGAGAAACTTTTTTTATTGACCAAATACTTATTTTCCACCATAATTTGCAAAAAAATTCATTAAAATCCTACAATGTGATTTTCTGGTTTGTTTTTCCTCATTTTGTCTGTCATAGTTGACGTGTACCTATGATGAAAATTACAGGCCTCTCTCATCTTTTTAAGTGGGAGAACTTGCACAATTGGTGGCTGACTAAATACTTTTTTCCCCACTGTAGATGGTCTAATAATGCGGAGGGAAATTAAAGGGTAAAAGAGCTGCCTCTTGCCTGAGTGCGAGGCCACCATTCCTGTAATCAGCCCTCTGCTCTGACTCTCTCTCCCTGGCATTCATGGGCATATAGCTGGCTTTACACATAGCACAGGACCTGGCTAAAAGAACCCTTAGTCAGTAAAGGGACTCCTCTAATAAATGAACTGGTGTACAACCTGTCTGCCAACTCACAGATCTGAACATATTCAAAGCCCAACTCAACCCCCACACTCAGTATCTAGCACCACCACTGCTGTGGTAGTACCCCCCCTCCTCCCTCCCTTCTCCCCTAACATCTCAGCTCCCATGGCACGGAGCAGATGGCACAGGCAGCCACTCTTATATTTTATTGAACGTTATTTGTTTATTCATTTTGCTCTGCAGATGTGCTAGTAACGTAGCATAACTTACAGTTTTACAGTGTGCAATCTCTCCATATGCTGTCATATTGTTAACACGTTTGGTGGGCTGTTTCAAAGTGTAGACAGCTAAACTGTTTTGATTACACTTTCATTGTAGTGTAATAAGTCCACTAGTGTTGTGTGCATCATGACATAGTGTAGTGTAGTGCTATTCCTTTTCACATTGTGATATGGCCAATATGTTTAACTTGTTGACAGTAATCTCTTTCTCCTTTTTTCTTGCTCTCTCTCCTTCTCCCAGGCATCTTGAAGTTCCATGAGGTGTACTTGGGAGAGGGCGTGACAGAGGGTGGGCCAGACCTCCATGAGGGTGGGGGAGGGGGTGTGGCCAGCGGCTCGTCTCTGGAGCAGCACATTGCCAGTGCTCGGGAGGCCCTGGGAGTAGAGTCCTACTACAGCAGGTAATACACACAAACAAACACACACACACACACACACACACACATGCACACACGCACCACTTGGAGCCCAGAATATACCATGCATGCTATAGAGTGGGCACTGGCTGATGCACATAGAGGGATACTGTGCTGTTCTGTATGCAGTCTCAAGGAGTCATTCTCCCCAGTGCATGGTGTGATGACAGGACCCCGATATCTGTCTAAACAACTGTTCTCTGCTCCCACTGGGAACCAATGAGACAGAATAATGGCTCTCTGGATGCCCACTGGACTCACTTAACAAATACTGTCTGGGACTGGGAGACAGGAAAACACAGCAGACAGGTTACTGAGGGCAGAGGAGAGGAGGAAGAAAGAGATGAGGAAGGCAGAGAGAATGGATGGAGTGAGATGCAGGGGTGGGAGTAGACTTGTTAGACGGACAATGGGTAATTTGATGTGAACTCGAAAAAGGAACAGTTAATGACAAATAAATTAATTGAGCAATCAAACTGCAGGTTTAATTCAGGGCAGGGGTTGGAACCAAAATTATTTTCCAATCGTTTAGTTCTGAACAGAACCACTCTTTTTTTTGTTCCGTTCCCCTCTTCCAATCAGCAAAATAAAGTTCTGAGCCGGTTCGAACCTTGAAGCGCTGGGCATCTTGTTATGAATTATAGCCTACCTATGGAGGAGCAGCTTCTATGGAGGAACTTTGAATGTCCTTTCAACTGAGTTGGCTGAACGTTGGACCAGAGCTAGCTAGCTAACAGGTTTGTGTGTGGCATATAGAAGCATACCAGATGGACATCATGAAAATGATTGGAGGAAGTTCAGGAGTAAAAACAAACAAAATATAATTATTTACTGTGTCCATAAAATGTATATAGTATGTATAAGCATGAAGTAGAGGCCTAAGCATTATTGTTCACTAGTTTACTCCAATTAGGGAAGGGATGGTGGGGTTGGAAAGTAATAAAGGGAAATATATATATATTTTTAAAGGATATGTATGTATATACAGTGGGGAGAACAAGTATTTGATACACTGCCGATTTTGCAGGTTTTCCTACTTACAAAGCATGTAGAGGTCTATAATTTTTTATCATAGATACACTTCAACTGTGAGAGACGGAATCTAAAACAAAAATCCAGAAAATCACATTGTATGATTTTTAAGTAATTAATTTGCATTTTATTGCATGACATAAGTATTTGATCACCTACCAACCAGTAAGAATTCCGGCTCTCACAGACCTGTTAGTTTTTGTTTAAGAAGCCCTCCTGTTCTCCACTCATTACCTGTATTAACTGCACCTGTTTGAACTCGTTACCTGTATAAAAGACACCTGTCCACACACTCAATCAAACAGACTCCAACCTCTCCACAATGGCCAAGACCAGAGAGCTGTGTAAGGACATCAGGGATAAAATTGTAGACCTGCACAAGGCTGGGATGGGCTACAGGACAATAGGCAAGCAGCTTGGTGAGAAGGCAACAACTGTTGGCGCAATTATTAGAAAATGGAAGAAGTTCAAGATGACGGTCAATCACCCTCGGTCTGTGGCTCCATACAAGATCTCACCTCGTGGGGCATCAATGATCATGAGGAAGGTGAGGGATCAGCCCAGAACTACACGGCAGGACCTGGTGAATGACCTGAAGAGAGCTGGGACCACAGTCTCAAAGAAAACCATTAGTAACACACTACGCCGTCATGGATTAAAATCCTGCAGCGCACGCAAGGTCCCCCTGCTCAAGCGAGCGCATGTCCAGGCCCGTCTGAAGTTTGCCAATGACCATCTGGATGATCCAGAGGAGGAATGGGAGAAGGTAATGTGGTCTGATGAGACAAAAATATAGCTTTTTGGTCTAAACTCCACTCGCCGTGTTTGGAGGAAGAAGAAGGATGAGTACAACCCCAAGAACACCATCCCAACCGTGAAGCATGGAGGTGAAAACATCATTCTTTGGGGATGCTTTTCTGCAAAGGTGACAGGACGACTGCACCGTATTGAGGGGAGGATGGATGGGGCCATGTATCGCGAGATCTTGCCTCAGTAAGAGCATTGAAGATGGGTCGTGGCTGGGTCTTCCAGCATGACAACGACCCGAAACACACAGCCAGGGCAACTAAGGAGTGGCTCCGTACGAAGCATCTCAAGGTCCTGGAGTGGCCTAGCCAGTCTCCAGACCTGAACCCAATAGAAAATCTTTGGAGGGAGCTGAAAGTCCGTATTGCCCAGCGACAGCCCCGAGACCATATTAAGTTCTGCTTTTCTGATGTATCAAATACTTATGTCATGCAATAAAATGCAAATTAATTACTTAAAAATCATACAATGTGATTTTCTGGATTTTTGTTTCTCACAGTTGAAGTGTACCTATGATAAAATTACAGACCTCTACATGCTTTGTAAGTAGGAAAACCTGCAAAATCTATATCAAATACTTGTTCTCCCCACTGTATATATGTATGTATATGTGTATATGTATGTGTATGTATATGTGTATGTATATATATATATATATGGGAGAAAAAAAAGAAGAAAAAAAACATGGGGGATTGGAAGTGATGCAGACAATTACATTGATGGAAGTTACAATCTATCTGCAATATTAAAGTTGATCTACCCCCTAAAAAAATAAAATAAAATAAAAAAAAGTTTTACCTTTTTGTAGTTAATAAATCCAATGTGAAACGTGATAACTATAGTATCCTTAACTAGCATTGAAAAAGTTAATCCATTCTTCTCTAATTAAAAATCTCTCTACCTTATCTTCTGAATCACGCTTGTAACGTCAGTACAGTAACCTATGCTTCGGAGGGGGGAGGTGCAGGTAGCCTACACACGCCGCACACACACACTGGCTAAGATTTTCAGCTGTCAGGCAGTTTCTGGGTGACAGAGTGAGGGCTTTGTATAGGCGCTTTGTTGGCAAAAAAATTCCAGAAATGTAAAAGGACGTTATTGACCAGTAACCATGCTTTTAAAATACCCGTTCTGTTCCGGAACAGTAGAGATCACTTTCGTTCTGTTTCTGTTCCTCTAAATGTTTTGTTATTTTCCGGTTTTCGGTTTTGTTCCCTGAACCGGTTCCAACCCCTGCTTCAGGTGTCTTCACTGTACTCGTGAGTCTCACTGAACTTCCATGCAAATGTTTCCTTATCATTAACTTCTGGTGACTGCTAAAATAAAGAAAAACACCAACATAAAGTGTCTTAATAGGGCGTTGGGCCACCACGAGCCAGAACAGCTTCGATGCATCTTGGCATAGATTTTACAAATGTATGGAACTCTATCGCGATTCAATACGATTCTTCGACGAGAAATTCCATAATTTTGTGTTTTGTTGATGGTGGTGAAAAACACTGTCTCATGCGCCGCTCCAGAATCTCCCATAAGTGTTCAATTGGGTTGAGATCTGGTGACTGAGACGGCCATGGCATATCGTTTTCATGCTCATCAAACCATTCAGTGACCACTCGTGCCCTGTGGATGGGAGCATTGTCATCCTATGGGGGCATAGCCATGGTAGCCAAAATAATGGCCTGCCCAGCATTTTTATACATTACCCTAAGCATAATAGAATGTTAATTGCTTAATTAACTCAGAAAACAAATCTGTGTTGAAGTACCTGCTTTCAATATACTTTGTATCCCTCATTTACTCAAGTGTTTCCATTATTTTGGCAGTTACCGTGGTTTGCGAAAGTATTCACCCCCCTTGGCAGTCTTTTGGGGGGTTTGTATCATTTGATTTACACAACATGCCTACCACTTTGAAGATGCAAAATATTTTTTATTGTGAAACAAACAAGAAATAAGACAAAAAAAACAGAAAACTTGAGCGTGCATAACTATTCACCCCACCAAAAGTCAATACTTTGTAGAGCCACCTTTTGCAGCAATTACAGCTTCAAGTCTCTTGGGGTATGTCTCTATAAGCTTGGCACATCTAGCCACTGGGATTTTTGCCCATTCTTCAAGGCAAAACTGCTCCAGCTCCTTCAAGTTGGATGGGTTACGCTGGTGTACAGCAATCTTTAAGTCATACCACAGATTCTCAATTGGATTGAGGTCTGGGCTTTGACTAGGCCTTTCCAAGACATTTAAATGTTTCCCCTTAAACCACTCGAGTGTTGCTTTAGCAGTATGCTTAGGGTCATTGTCCTGCTGGAAGGTGAACCTCCACCCCAGTCTCAAATCTCTGGAAGACTGAAACAGGTTTCCCTCAAGAATTTCCCTGTATTTAGCGCCATCCATCATTTCTTCAATTCTGACCATTTCCCAGTCCCTGCCGATGAAAAACATCCCCACAGCATGATGCTGCCACCAACATGCTTTACTGTGGGGATGGTGTTCTCGGGGTGATGAGATGTGTTGGGTTTGCGCCAGACATAGCGTTTTCCTTGATGGCCAAAAAGCTCAATTTTAGTCTCATCTGACCCGAGTACCTTCTTCCATATGTTTGGGGAGTCTCCCACATGGCTTTTGGTGAACACCAAACGTGTTTACTTATTTTTTTATTTAAGCAATGGCTTTTTTCTGGTCACTCTTCCGTAAAGCCCAGCTCTGTGGAGTGTACGGCTTTAAGTGGTCCTATGGACAGATACTCCAATCTCCGCTGTGGACCTTTGCAGCTCCTTCAGGGTTATCTTTGGTCTCTTTGTTGCCTCTCTGATTAATGCCCTCCTTGCCTGGTCCGTGAGTTTTGGTGGGCGGTCCTCTCTTAGCAGGTTTGTTGTGGTGCCATATTCTTTCCATTTTATAATAATGGATTTAATGGTGCTCCGTGGGTTGTTTAAAGTTTCTGATATTTTTTTATAACCCAACCCTGATCTATACTTATCCACAACTTTGTCCCTGATCTGTTTGGAGAGCTCCTTGGTCTTCATGGTGCCACTTGCTTGTTGGTGCCCCTTGCTTAGTGGTGTTGCAGACTCTGGGGCCTTTCAGAACAGGTGTATATATACTGGGATCATGTGACACTTAGATTGCACACAGGTGGACTTTA